TAGTGGAAGGGCATGCCGTGATTGTAGCAGTGCTAGTGGTGAAGACGGTGGATGTAGTCAAGTCAGACCCGGCAGAAATTGATGTCGCAGCATCAGTGCTCGGCACAGTCCTCGTAACAGCGGAGGTAACAGGGGGACCATTAGGTGGTAGATTCGAAACGCCTGAAGTCACGGCTGGCGTCACGGTAGATCTGCCTTGGGTCGGGGCAGAAGACAATGCAGCTGAAGGGAGGACTGGAGGCGCTGATGAAGCTACCATCGACGAGAACTTGGGAACTGAAACTGGGACAACCACCGGCGTCGTGACAGGAGTGAAGGCAGTGCGAACTTCAGAGATAGAGGAAACGGCAATGCGACTGCGGCTCACTACAGCGGACGGCGACCGAATGGGCCTTGAGAACGGTATGGCTGCAGATGACACTGGAGACACAGGTATCCGACTGGAACTGACGATTGGCGACGAAGAGACTGGTGCTGAAGACACGGCCCCTGGTAATGATAACGGTGAAGAAGAAGGAACAACAACACGGCTAGGGCTAACATTCGCAGACGAGAGGATTGATGCTGAGGACACTGCCAGAACGGATGAGGCGGGCGAAGAAGAAGCAGAAGCAACGGCACGGCTAGGGCTAACAATTGCAGACGAGTGAATCGCTGCTGAGAAAGGGATGGCAGACGATGAACGCACAGGAGTCGAGATCGCCACCACTGCTGATGAAGATGTACGTACTGGGCAACTCACGGTTTGGATACCCAAGTGGACATTGGCAATTTCCATGTCGGGAAGATATGTATAGTCATCGGTGGTGCATTGCACACTGACGAGAATCTGAAAGTCCGAAACCGTGGCATCCCAACTTCCCTTCGCCGTCATCCAACCACTATCAGTGGATGACAGCGTGACCTCGTCATGGAAGAGATCCAACAGGAGTCCCGAGGCATCATCCGACAGCCGGTAGTCGATACTGCAAGAGACGGCCACATCGGAGTCATACTCCTCTGCCTTGAGTCTCCAAGAAGCCGAAGCCACGTACGTTTGTCCAACTTGTGCGTCGGCAATGGTTTGGTTGAGTTGGTAGAAGTTATAATTCGAGCCTGACACGAACCTAGACCGACCGGGTCAGCGTAAGCGTTCGTGATAAACTGCTTTGCCCCTAACTTACACGCATTGACCACCACCCGGGGCATCGTCGTCCACCAAGTCGAGATTAGTGCTCCGTGACATGTCACGCCAAACTGTACTCTCGTTGTCGGAGAAGTCGCCGTCTTGGACCAGTTCCCCGGTCAAAGTGGTTGTGGCAGCTGCACACTGGGATGTACAGACCACCTCCGGCCCCAAGAACGAGACGCTAGAGATCTGGAGCGTGCTTGTGGAAGCCTGCGAGCAGGTAATGCTTAGCCGGAGGGTCGCCTCGGTGGTCGTTGACTGCCATTGTCCCATTATCAAATCCCAACCAGTGGCACTTCCATCCGAAGACCAAACGTAGCCATAGGTCACAAACCAGGAGGAATCCTCGGTCACAGCGTAGACATCCATCTCGCAGTACGGGTAGGCTCCGTTCGAGTCTGCCTCTCCGAATAGGTTGGCATACATGTTGAATTGGTAGTAGGGGCCCTCTCGAAGTGAAATGGGTTGCTCCAGCACGAACCCATTCTGCGAGGTGCTATAGGGAATTTCACTGGGTATTGCGCGTTAAGACATATGGAAGCACAATAAGACAATACTGCAGTAACTTACAGATAACCGCCATTGTTAACACCTCCACTGGTCACGATCGAGTATGCGTCCGAGGTCGAGGTCGAGGTCCATGCCGACTCATCTGTGAAATCGCCGTTGGCCACTGCATCGCGGGTGACCTGGGTGCAGACGTCGATGTCGGTGGCGAAGACAGCCCCAATGTCGTAACTTAGAAGCCATACTAGTGGCCACAGGGAATGAGTGAGTTTCATATTTGATCTTCAAATGATCGTGTGTGGGTAAGCGAGTGACAATGACAACCAAGTCAAGGAGCGGACTGGCCACAAGGGCCGAAGTAGACTTTGCGAAGGACTGGGATGGAATCTTTCGAGGAAGGTGAAGTCAATCAGGAAACTTTTCCCATTTATAACATCTAGTCATTTGGCAGTGGGCCTTGAGCGCGTATCTGGATGGATGGATGGCTCCATCTGCGGAGGTCGGCGTCTCCGTCTCGGGAAGAATTGCCCTCATTCCCACGCCAACACGAACTACGCCCCACTTTCATCGCTAGTTCTGTCCCTCTATCGATCAGCCCAGAGAAATGGGTCAATCAAGCCGATGTATTCCCCTGAAACCTTTCCATTTTCTATTCTGTTGACTCGGCAGACAGGATAAGCAGCTGAATATCCACCAGCCCTGATCCTGGGGTTGAAGTACTGCACAGGCTCCCATGTCCTCAGGATCAGCACAAAGGGAAACATCGAGTTGTTATCTATCCAGCGACTCTAGAGCAAGAATCTAAACCCTCGAGTCACGGCCTGACCAGGCAGCCCATGTTCTTCATTGTTGTGCCGCTGGCCACTCGATGACCCCGTCTCGGTTCCCTCTTCTCGGTCCAGGCGCCTGTTCAGTCGTCCAAGATAAAAACGCAGAATTGTGGCAAAGATGATGGTCATGGAAGACATTGCGATGTTGACGCTGAATGCCGTGATATATCTTGGGTTAGCCGAGTCTGTCATTAGGACAAATTAGTCAATCATTTGATTCATCATGCTGGAAAGGCAACGTACTCGGGTATAGATACGGTGTATAGATTTGGCAAACATTGCTCAGACAGTTGATCAAGGCGAGGGCCGCCGCTCGTTTTGTTGCAGGACGGGGGAGGACTGTGTCTCGTTAGTCGATGTGCTTTTGTACGCGTGACATGCGGTGCGCCATACTGTTGGATATGTAGCCCAGGGCCACCACATAACTGGAATAAATTCCAGGGAGCATGATACACATCGCCCTAATTCCAGTCAGCCTCAATGGCCAACAGTCCCAGAAAAAGAAGGAACATACACATATCGTGCGCCAAAAGAATTTCCCGCCATGGCGAGGATGAATGACACAATGGCGAGAATCGGAGGCAGGGCGATGTGCAGATAGCGCTCGCCCGTCAAATCGGCGTGCCAGGCATTGATCAGGACGACAATGGTTCCGATCAAATACGGTGGTGTCGTGAGCAGCAAAGTGTCGATATTATTCTTTCCAAGCCCAGCCATAACACTAAACCTCATGAGCACTATATTTCGTCGGGATGGTTGATGCAGATACATACCTCGGGAAAAAGGTAGTTACAGCTCCTGAAGCTGTACAGCCGTAGATGGTTCCCAGTAGGAGCCAGGCTTTAATATCGCTGGACTGAGCGTTAGCTGCAACCGTTCCCTTGGGTTCCAAAGCTCAACGTCTTGAAGCTCTTACAAGAATGCCAACTTGGCGCCATGCAACATAGACTGGTGCTGTTGGTCCACCCAATCATCCTCACCAATGTCGGCCTCCAACCGCCAGGCAGCCAGGGCTTTCTCTTCCTCCGACAACCATCGCGTGGTTCGTGGTAGATCGGGGATGATGAAGAACGCAATGAACGCGACAAATACCTGGTTGCAATCTTAATCCCTCTGCCTCAATCTCGCGGTGCGTCGCAAACTTACAGTAAGCGATCCTTCGATGATGAATAACCATCTCCAAGCGCCCAGGCCTCGGGCGCCGTTCAGCCCACTGGTGATTCCCGCCGAGATGAGACCGGAGAAGGCACCTGATAGCAAGGACCCGGAATATAACAGTGCGGTTCGCTTCCCAAGTTCTTTTCGGGTGTACCAGGCGGAAAGCAGATACAGGCAGCCGGGCTAGCAAGTCATCAGCATGGCTTCAATTGTGCGATTAGGCTATGTCGGCGCACATACGAAATACGCGGCCTCGACAAATCCCAGAAAGAAACGACAAAGTAGTAGACCCGTGAAGTTGTGCGTGGCAGCAGTGGCGCAGGAGATCACGCCCCATACCAGCATACACCCGGGGAGGTAGAGCGAGGGCTTTCCCAGCTTGTTCAAGATCATGTTGGATGGGACTATGCACGGATCCATTAGTTGAGAACCCCAACAATGGACACCAATCAACTAGCCGTACCCTGCATAAGCAAGTATCCGATGAACAGAATGCTGACCGAGAGCTGGAAAGAGGTCAATTATGCACTGAAGAATGTTTTCCCGAGCGTGGATCTACCTGATACTCGTCACCCTTCAGATTCAAGTCTGTCTCCAGCCCGGCCAGCTTAGCAGCTGCAATGTTGTTGCGGTCCAGGTAGTTCAAGATGTACATGACCACGATCATGATGAGCAGGCGAACGTCCACTTTGCGCACCAGTCTTTTCTCCAGTCGTTGTCGTTCATCGTCGGGGAGGTTGCGAATGTTGCGTACCAGGTCCCTGTCCTGGCTCTTGGTGGGATTCCCATCGTCACTGTATTCGAGATGGTCGGCAGTGACATCTTTCCTGATATCAGCCATGGCTCTTGGTATAGAAGCTCTGTTCACGGGGTGGAATTTGAATGGAAGTGGGATCAGAATCAGCAGACCTGTCCACAGCACGGGCAAGGAGACAGAGACCGACCAGGATTCTGCCAAGCTTAAATGGAGAAGAATCTGGGGTAATTTCCACTGGTAATTGCGGGGTAGCAGGGCCGTGAAGCACGGACCGTGAACCCTTGATTAGTATAATTCGGAAAAGAGCCACTGCTGTCGGAAACGAACTCTTGTTTGCCTCTTCTTATCCGGGGAGAAGGTCAACCACGAGGCTCATGATCTTCACTCGCAAGTGACACCAGTCCATTGTGTTGTACCATACAGTATTGAATTTCCCCAGCCTATGCACTTTACATGTTCTGCCTGAACGACAATGGGCTGGTCGAGTGACCATTGCGAAGGGACTCGGATATCCATGACATTCATCTATGTAACTGTACTGTAATCATCCTCTCTAGTCTCCATCGCTCTACTGCATACATCAAGCCTGAGCCTTGAGTCGTTTCTGCTCTTCCGCCCAAGCCAGTGCGCTTTTCCGAGCACTCTCTTCGCCCACCTCGCCAAAGATGTCTATCCCCAAGCGGGCCGGGAAGTTCATGCGTTGGTGCTTTTCCAGGGATTGAATCGCGTTGAATGCCTCCTCGGGCAGGACAAAATCTAAGTTGGCGATCGTATGGTCAGGTCTACAACCTCAGTATCCGATAGACGTTGAAATACGACATACCTTCGAAGTTGCTCTGGATTCTCTCGGGGGTGACCGACTTGGGCAGCACAACGGTGCCGCGCTGAACTGCCCAGCTGATCAACACCTGCGCTGGAGTCTTACCCAGGCTCTTGGCCGTTTCGATGACGAGAGGATCGTCGACCGCGCTAGATCCACGTCAGTTACCGTACCTGCAGTCGGAAAATGCTTAACGCCACCTACCGCGGAATGTTATAAATGTTGTTTCCGAGGGGAGAGTATCCCTCTACCACAATCCCCTAGATACGACACCCGTTAACAACCCCTCTAGACACAATCCTAAGCAAACTCACTTGTTGTTTAGACCATTCCAAAAGGTCTCGTTGCTGAAGGTAGGGATGCGCCTCGATCTGGTTCACGGCAGGGAGGATTTTGGCTCTGGCGATACGTCAGTCAACTCATTGCTTTCATGAGATGAGTGCACGAACGTCTTGAGCAGTTCTTCGATCTTCTCCCGGGTGAAGTTGCTCACTCCAATAGAGCGAATCTTCCCCTTGGCCACCAGCTCCTCCATTGCTGCCCAGGTATCCTTGGCCGGCACGTCGATCACATCGATCAAACCCGTCTCCTCGACGATCGGCTGGTTGGTGGTGGTGGAATAACGAAACGAGACTGGCCAGTGAATCTAAGTCAACGAATCAGTCACCAACGTGCCCCCTTCAGCACCAGCGTTGCCTCCTACCAGGTAAAGGTCCAAATAATCGGTTTGAAGGTCGGCTAGAGTCTTGTCCACGGCGGCTTCGACATGTTCGGGCTGGTGATGGGTATTCCACAATTTGCTGGTAAGCTAGAGCCACGTCGCGGTCAGTTCCGAACTCAAAGGCCATTCACATTCAACAAATGATGGGTATACGCACGAAAATCTCCTCGCGCGGAACGCCCGAGGCTTTGATACCATCTCCAACCTCTTGTTCGTTGCCGTAGATGGCAGCAGCGTCGATGTGACGATAGCCTCCTTTGAGGGCAGCAACCACGGCCTCGCGCACCTCGTTCGGCTTCGATTGCTGGAACAACCGCGCTATCAGTATCCATCTTCCCGGGCGTTTCTTTCAAAAAGCAACATACCCAGGTCCCAAGCCCGACGGCAGGGATCTCATAGCCCGAGTTCAACTTCAACGTGCGTCCTGAAGCCATATTGGGGATGATAGTTAGATGGATGGAATGTTGAGTCGGTGGGGAGAGGGGTACGAATGAGACAGATGCCACGCACGCAGCAAAATCAACAGCAATCTTGGTCACCTGAGTCAATCTAGCCCAAATTTTGCTAGCCCCGCGGTTTATCAATATGAGCTCGAGTGACGCCATCTGCGCCTACCTCGGAAAAGAAGCGGAGTTGTGATGAATATCCGAGGGTATTTCCCCTCCGAGCTTCCTTTTCCGAGCTTCCTTTTCCGCCCTACCTTTTCCGGAGTGCCTCCGGGTTTCAACATGGACCACGACAACCATCTTGTTGATGCGGCTACATTTCCACATGGCCTGTGTATCTTCTCCTCGAGTGCCATCTTTATCACCAATTCTCAACAATCATGGCGCCTATCGCCCATATCGAGTATTTTCGGGTCCCCCCACGATGGTTGTTTGTCAAGATCACCGATGGCGATGGCAACACCGGCTGGGGTGAAGCCTCGCTTGAAGGTCACACGGAGGCAGTTGAAGGCTGCTTGGATGCCTTCGCGGCTCGCTTTTACGGCCTGGATGCCAAGTGAGCTAGACCGTTCCCAAACCTACATTCTAAATTCGCTCTAGCTAATTCGATTCCCCCATCTGGATAGTGCGATTGAGCATATCTGGCAGAATGGCTATCGCATGGGATTCTATCGCGGAGGACCGGTCCTGATGAGTGCCTTGGCCGGAATTGATATTGCCCTTTGGGATCTCAAAGGTGAGCGCGCGCTCTTAACCCCTTGCATTGCGCACATTCAAGCCTAATCGTCTCGTTCTCCCGTAGCGCGCCGACTGGGGTTGCCCATCTACGAACTCCTGGGCGGCAAAGTTCGGGACCAATTGCGAGTATACGCCTGGGTTGGAGGCGACCGACCGGGGGATGTTGAGGTGCAAGCGTAAGAGCCACAGGTTGTGTGTCTGGGCAGACATTCTGACTTGCAGGCCTTTATATAGACGCGCACGAATCACGCAGGGGTTCAAGGCGATCAAGATGAACGCTACCGAGGACCTGGGTTGGTTAGACTCCCCTCACACACTGGATGCATCGGTCGAGCGTCTCAAGACTGTCAAGGCACTTGGCCTAGACGCTGGCGTAGACTTCCACGGGCGCGTGCACAAGGCGATGGCCATCCAGTTGGCCCACAAGCTCGCCCCGCACGAGCCACTGTTCATCGAGGAGCCCCTCCTGTCCGAGCACCCGGAGTCAATCGCCGCCCTGTCCAAGCTGGTGCCCATCCCCATTGCGCTGGGGGAGCGCCTGCACAGTCGGTGGGACATCAAGCCGTTCCTGGAATCTGCATCGGTCAGTATTCTCCAGCCGGATATCTGCCATGTGGGTGGCATTTCGGAGCTGCGTCGGATGGCTACCATGGCGGAGGCCTACGATGTGGCCGTGGCTCCTCACTGTCCGCTGGGTCCCATTGCCCTCGCGGCCAATTTGCAGGTCGATGCCGTCTCGGCCAATTTCGCGATCCAGGAGATGAGCCTGGGGATCACTACAACCACGGCTCGGCGGATATTGGCACGTATGTCAAGAATCCTGAAGTCTGGACGGTGCACGACGGCCTGATTCGGTTGATGGATGGTCCCGGGCTGGGGATCGAGCTGGATGAAGAAAAGATCCGGGTTGCAGCGGTGGATGCAGCTGCCTGGCGAAGTCCGAGCTTTCAGGGTCCCGGGGGAGAATGGCGAGAATGGTAGGAGTAGGAAGGGATATGTGTATAGCCTGGAGATATCAAAACCCCTCCCCTTCTTAGGTACGACGAGAGTACAGTACAGTCCGTGGCTTTCCACTGGGAAGGAACAAGGCCTTAGTTGTATTTATGTATTTGATTCGACATGTAAGCGAACTCAAGCACAATGTCGCAAGAGAGGGTAGATGGTTTATATTACACCTACGATCCATAGGATACTTCGTAGAGTTGGAGTATAGAGACTTGGCAACTTACCCCGTGGGGTTGGGGGTTGACTAATCCACATCTCTTTCTCCGACCTCCGACCTTCCGTGTCTTCTCCCCTGCATCCATCGACTCTCCACTCTCCACTCTCCACTCTCCACTCTTCTATTCCATCTTCAATAACACCGCTCTCATCATTTACACACCCATGTCATGGACACGCTGTCGGAACCCCCTCGCAAAAGACGATGTGGCAAGGAGCGAGTCCGCGTAACTCGTGCCTGCGACGCCTGCAAACGGTAGGCAACCCGCGATCCATCCTCTCTTGTTGAGCACTATCCTGAGTCAGGATGATAGAAAGAAGCTACGCTGCTCAGGGACGCTGCCATGTTCCCTCTGTCAGCGTACCGGCAAACCATGCGACTACACAGCCGAGTACAACCGGGGAAAGCTCCCCCCCATTCCCCTTCGTGAACAGCCCAATACTCTTCCCAGGACAGAGACCACCACCACCACCAACTTCCCCCTCGAATCGCCAGCCTCGCCAGTCAGAGAGAATGGCTTTGTGAATGAGGCTCCCTCTCGCGGCTCTCCTGAAGCACATCAGACCGACATGGAAGGTCACTATGTTGGGCCTTCGTCAGGGGTCTCCTTTCTGATTCGAGCCCAGAAGAGACTGCAAGAGCAGATCTCCCTCCCGATCAATGCCCCCATTTTCAGTTTTGGTGACGCCCCTTTGTCAAAGCTAGACCTGGCTTTTCTCCTGCTTCCGCCTCGGTTCGAAGCCGATATCCTCATTGCTCGATACTTTGATTTCGCTTTTCCGACCCACCGCTTTCTCCATCAGGCTCAAGTGGAGGGCTGGGTCTCCGAGTTCTATGGCCCCCTGCAGGACTCGGCGGTGGCGGGGCCCGGCAAGCGCGCCATTCGTGCCTTGGTTTTGATGGTTCTGGCCCACGCGAAGCAGTGTTTACCAGAGTCCGACCAAGGGATCGGAGCGTCAGTCAACGGCACGGTCTACCTGACAGCAGCTGAGCATCATCTGGCCGCCGAGACCGGCCCGGTGCGCTTGACGAGCGTGCAGGCCCGCTTGGCTCAGTGCTTCTACCTCCTGTCGCAGTCTCGCATCAATCATTGTTGGAGTCTATTCGGGACGACCGCTCGTCTGGCCATTGCCATTGGCCTTCATCGAGTGCGCAGGAGAGACCGAGGATCGGGCTTCGATTACGTGGAGGGGGAATGCCGAAAGCGCGTCTTTTGGTGTGCGTATAGTCTCGATAATTATCTCAGTGCGGCCTTGGGCCGTCCACGCATCTTTCATGACGATGATATTGACCAGGAGCTTCCCGCGGTCGCAAACGACAGCCACATTCTAGCCGACCAAATCCTGCCGGCGACGACATCAGCTCAGAGCATTATGCTGGCCCCTGTCTATCATGCCAAGCTGTCCGTCATTATTGGGGGCATTCTACATGATGTCTACGGGCCCCGTCGGGCCAGCGGGCAGGTGGAAGCCGCAGCGGCCGTCAAGTACGGGGCCTGTCTGTCTCGCTGGCGTCAGGAGCTATCGGGATTCCTCGATGTAGCAAACGTGGATCTGCTCATGCTGACCTATCAACGACAGTATACCGTTCTCAATCTCGCTTTTTACCATGCCCAGGTTCTACTATACCGACCATTCATTCTGAAAGACTTTGGTCACTCCACCGTTCCCCGCCCTCAGAATGATAAATCATTTGAATTGGTCCGAAAGTACACTGGACTGTGCCTGGAGGCAGCCATGAAGATCGCGGCAATTGTCCGTGAGCTATGCGACCGGGGCAGGATGTATTCTACGTTTTGGGTGAGAGGGCCCAGCTTCAGGACTACGTCAAGCCCACTAATAAGCCCGTGCCTAGTTTACCCATTACTACACCTTTTCCGCGATTGTGGTTCTCTACGTCCAGGTGGTCCAGGGCTCTACACAAGTGGATCGACCGGACCGACTGGACGGTTACCTTCGAATTGCCGAGCAAGCCCAGCGGGATCTTGCCCTCTGCGGCTCGCGCTCCTCGTTTGCACAGCGCTACGTGCTAGTCCTCGAGGAACTTCGGAAAGAAGCTCGAACGGCGATCGGCCATACTCGATCGGGGGTACTAAGAAGCGGAACTGTCTTCCCATCTGCTCTGGGCCCATCTCCACCCCAGCACGGACATGGCAGCACCGGACCCGATGGAGCCACAAAAGCCAGTGCGAGTCAAGCTTTGTTCAGCCTTCAACCTGTGCAGACCGGAGCAAGGACTTCAGACAATCAGTGGATGGACGTGACCTCTGTGCACCTCCATTCGCAGCCCTCTCACGGAAACCCTACGAATGATGGACTCTCTGGGACGGGAATTATGAATGTTGCGGACTGGGAAGCCTTGGACTCCCTAGCAGTTGCTGGACTAGGGGAGCTGGACTATCTCTTTCCTTTGGATGGCCTCCAAGATGCCTAGGCTCTAGGCAAGCCGACTGCAGAGACCCATTCAATATTAAGCTTCAATTGACTGATCCCAGAGTACAGGACAATTCAGAAAGGGATTAAATGAATCTTGCGACTTGCTCAAGCTAACAAGAGACCTTTGAGTAAGACTACTAGTCCAGCAGCCCCGGGATCAGGAACTTCGCGCCAACCTTGCTCGTGGACATAGACAGCGCGCCCCAGCGAAGCTCGCATTCCTTGCGTTCGATCCCGCCCAGACTGGGCGGCTATCAGAGCCGCATCTGTGGATTCGCCCGCTTGCAGCGCTCTGATGAACGGCTCGAGCGCATCCATCAAAGTCCGGTCACCTACTCGGGCTGGAGTGGCGCGCTGCAGAGCATCGAGTCCCGCCACGCAAGCCTCGCTCCATTCAGCGGCTCTGATTAGTCTCTCTTCCTGCAATCCTACTCCACAGTTGCGCAAGGAGGCGCCGACTGCATTCAGGAAAATCGCGTAAAGTGCACCCGAAGTGCCATCCATGTTGTTTTCGACCACCTTGGCAATGGTCTCCACGGTCCCAACCGCATCGCCGTCGGGGCTCACGGACCCGCCCTTCTCCATATCCGCCAGAATTGCTCGGGCTGTCCGCGCCAGCGTCGAGCCACAGTCTCCGTCCCCGACCAAGGAGTCGAAGCGATCAATTTCTTCCTCCGCAGCCACAATTCTGTGACAGGCGCGACTAATGGCCGCCGAAAGCGATCTGTTGTCCACTATTGACTCAAGATTATTGTTAGACAGTATGTCAATGCCGCCTACACGGAGGTATCGCAACAATTTCACTGACCTTTGAGTCGCGATGAACCTGAGTCCATGCGTTCGGCCTGTTCTTCCACCACAGATAACCTTCTTGCTACGGGAGAGGTTTCCAAGTGTTGGTGGGCGGTCCAGCCAGGAGTTGATGCAGGGGCATCTAAGGCTTGTATCATCGCCTTGCTGGCTTTGAGCAATGTGATGCTAAATCCTTTTCCGTCCAGGCTGGTCATGTAAGCCCCAGCGTATACTCGTCTTGGATGCAAGCTGCGGTTACCTGCGCCACTGCTGTTAGCCAACTTTGATCACAGAAGGGAATCTCTACCTTACTCAGTCGTCCGACGACCACCTTCGTCATAGCTGAGAACTCGAGGTTCGAAATGCCACCAAGGTTGTTAACCATGAGCACCAAATCTTCCGCATCGTTGAACCGGACATAGGCTCGATCCTCGTCTTCCTGCTCCAGTAATTGGTCCAGCATCTGATCCACAAGAACGTTGATATCAGGTTGGGGCTTAAGCACGTAGCATCCTGTCTCATTATGGATTCCCATGCCGACCTCGACCTGGTCTGTCCGGACCGTCAGGTCTGTGGTAGGCTTTCCTACCAGATGCACATGATCCAAGGCAGCCCCCACCGTGGCCAAATTCGCCACAACTTCCTTGCCTAAGTGATACAACTTCTTCAGAGTGGCGTCATCCTGCTGCGCGACCGCCCCGAGGATCTTCTCCACGAGGACAGTGCCAGCCAGCCCTCTCCGGCCTACCTTGCCACTTTTGCGTCGGCCAACCGACACGTCGTCCCCCACGACTAAGACTGCCATCTCATGGCCCGCGAGACGAGCCTTCTCCGCAGCGAGATGGAAGTGGAGGACATCCCCAGTGTAGTTCATGATGATCAGCAGTGTTCCAGTCGATCCCCCAGCTGAAGCAATCGTATTCTGGATTTGATGCACACTTGGCGACGCAAAGACGGACCCGGAGACAGCAGCGCTGAGCAGACCATCGCCTACCAGGCCGGCAAACGAAGGCTCGTGTCCCGCACCACCGCCAGATATCAAAGTCACTTTGGCGTTGCCGTCATGGCGGGAATTAATGATTGCTGCAGTGCATTAGCATTGGTTCGTACTGCACCCGTTTTCAATTGGGTCATCCACATTTATTCTCTGGGTCGTAGATCAGCGATGGGTGGGCCAGTGCCAGGCCCTGAAGCGCATCCTACACGAGAGTGGTCCCGTCGTTGATGAAGTGTCTGGCTGCCATTGCGCTGAGCGTGAAGCGAATGCGTAAGTAAATGCGTGTGATGCTAGGACTACCGCAGCTTCTCAGCTTCTTTGTCGCAACTTTTATCCATTTACATGTTTGCTATACCCTTTCCTGCAACGTGAAGGATTCCGGACCGCTTCGAAACTCAGCCCATGACAAGGATGCAAGTCCGGTACCCTCGGTTGAGTTGATGCACAGGTGATGATTTTCCGCCCCGATGATTGCGGGACACAGAATACATGCGAGAGGAATAGAATCCGAAGTTTTCCCCAGACGCGTTTCTACCTCGATGTTAAAGTTTTCCGGGCTGGGGGGCGATTGCTTTGCTCGGCTAAGGCGATGCTTATCCGAGTGGGGGGGGTCTTTTCCGACCCCACACCCTAACCGGGGAATTCACTTGCGTGAGGCACTCCCCCGCAACAACAAGTACGAGTAGTAGATAAACAGTTCACCATATGCCGAAGCCGCAATTCAGCCAAAAAGGCTTATCTTCCATCTTTTCCATTCACGGTAATCATGCATCTCACATCAGACATGGACAGCGTGACAGAGGCCCGACAGCTGGGTGAACTCCCACCCACCCCGCCTCACGAAAAGGAGATCTCTCCCCAGACGATCAACGACGTCTTGTTGCAACTCATCCAGGATGCGCCAGACCTACCACTGGTTGGGTACCCGGAAAGCTCTCATGGGGTTAGCGACTACGTATACTACTCTGCTCGCCAGCTGGATCGCTTCTCCAACGGCGCAATCGAGCAGTTGAAGAAGGCTGGGCTTGAACAGGTAATACCGATGCCCACATCAATATGACCATCTTCCATTCTCATATCGCTGTGCAGTTTTCCCACCCGACGGGGAACCGGGTTGTCGCAATTCTCGGCGCCTCCAACCTCGACTACATCGTGTCTCTTTTCGCATTGACCCGATTGGGATACGCCGTCTTGCTGCTCTCGACCCGGCTCGGCACGGAAGCCTACATAAATCTCCTTGCAGCTACCAAATGCACCCTACTCCTCTACTCCTCGTCGACCGCAAAGGCTGTGAACAAGCTCGAGTCCACCGCTTCCCTTGCTACCTACAAGATTCCGGAGCATGCCGCGTACTCAACAAGCACCTTCAGCTCGTCCCTCCAACTGGCCGACAACAGTTATTTGAGTCGGAAGTGGGCGTTCATCATCCACTCATCCGGGTCCACTGGCCTTCCCAAGCCAATCTTCCAGACTCATGGGGCGTGCATCGCCAACTACAGCACCAGCAAGGGCTACCGGGCCTTGCTTACTCTGCCGCTGTACCACAACCACGGCCTTTCGACCTTCTTCCGGTCGCTGTTTAAGCGCAAGCCTGTTGCGATCTACAACGCCAACCTCCCCTTGACGGGTGACCATGTGCTCGAAACGATGCGGGTGACAACCCCGGAAAGCTTCCACGGCGTTCCGTATGTGCTTAAGCTGTTGAGTGAAGTCGAGGGCGGTGTCGCAGCACTATCCCGGTGCCAGCAGGTTCTCTTCGGGGGGAGTAGCTGCCCTGATGATCTGGGCGATCTTCTCGTCGAGCGAGGCGTGCGGCTGATCAGTCACTACGGCGCGTACGTTGACCCCCTTCAAAGATGCCTTTATGCCTAGAATGCTAACCCGGACGGCAGAACTGAACTCGGTCAACTCATGACCTCTGACCGACCCCCAGAAGACAAGGCATGGAACTACGTCCGACCCATACTCAAGGTGGCTCCTTTTGTCAAGATGGACCCGTTGGAGGATGGCTCGTACGAGTGTGTCGTGCTCGATGGACTACCGGCCAAAGTCAGCTCGAACTCGGATGACCCACCAAACTCCTTCCACACGCGCGATACGTTCCTGAAACACCCGTCCATCACGAATGCGTGGAAATACTTGGGCCGACTGGACGATCGCATCACGCTTGTCAACGGCGAGAAGGTGCTCCCCGTGCCCATCGAGCACCGGATCCGTCAAAATCGCTGTGTGCAGGACAATCTCGTGTACGGCGTCGGACGTCCGCTCCCGGGCCTGCTTGTCGTGCCCAGCGTCGAGTGCCAAGGGATGGCAAAGGCAGAGATCCTCGACCAGATCTGGCCGGACATCGCCGCGGCCAACGCGAATGCCGAGGCTTTCAGTCAGATCTCCCGCGATATGGTGATCATCTTGGACCCCGGCTGTTCGTATCCCGCCACCGACAAGGGGACCATGATCCGCAACCGGTGCTACATCGAATTCAATGATCTAGTTGAGGAGAAGTACCACAAGCTCCAGGAAGGCGGCTCAACTGCCGCAGCGAACCGTCGCGTCTTTGAAAACGTGCAGGAGCTGGAGCAGTTTCTATTGTCTCTGTTCCGAGACGAGTTGGGATTCACGGACATCAATCTGGACACGGACTTTTATGAAGCAGGGGTAGACAGTCTTCAGGCCATCAAGGCACGTGGTGTCATTCAAAATCAGATGGACATCGGGTCCACTCAGCTGGGTCATAACGTGATCTACGACTGCGCCAACATTCACAAACTAGCTGCCCAACTCGACGCAGTCCGGACAGGCCAAGCGAGCAGCGCTGAAGACGAGCTGAGTGTCATGGCCCGACTGATCACCAACTACTCGACTTTCGTGAGCAGACCCGCTGTCGAAGAGACCGTTGTAAGTTTCAGTCTCTCCCTAGAACACTTTGAGATCGCCGTCAGGTACTAACCAACGCAGCTTCTCACTGGCACCACCGGCTCACTGGGCGTATACATCCTCTCGCGCCTCATGCAAAACCCCTCCGTCAAGCAGATCTACTGCCTCGTTCGAGCGAGCACTCCCTCCGATGCGCTCGACCGCGTGCTCACAAGCCTGTCCACTCGATCGCTGCCAATGATCAACGTATCCAAGATCATCGCCCTGCCATCACAGTTCGGCCGCGAGGATCTCGGCCTGCCAGTCGCGGTAGTGGACGACCTGCGCCAATCGCTCACCAAAGTCATCCACGCCGCGTGGGCCGTCAACTTCACCCTGGGCGTGCAGAGCTTCGAGCAACAACACATCCGCGGCGTCCACAACCTGATCAACCTGTGCCTCTCCAGCACACGCACCTCCCCGGCCGAGTTCTACTTCTGCTCCTCCATCTCCGCCGCCGCCGGGACGCCTCTGCCGGCAACCATCGCCGAAGGCCCGATCCCGGAGCTGGCACACGCCCAGAACATGGGGTACGCGCGCTCTAAGCTCGTGGCAGAGCGCATCATCCAAGCGGCGGCCGAAACGACGGGGATGGTCGCCAAGGTCCTCCGCGTGGGCCAGATCGTCGGCGACACGGTGAAGGGCAAGTGGAACCGCACCGAAGCCATCCCGCTAATGCTGCAGACCGCACACACCCTCAAAGCTCTGCCAGCGCTGGACGAGACCCCTTCCTGGCTGCCTGTCGACGTGGTGGCCGATGCAGTGCTCGAACTCAGCGGTATTGCCACCGCCGATTCCTCCACCTTGGCAGCAGTCTCCCGCCACGATCCAAGGGTCATCTACCACGTGCAGAACTCGAGAACCTTCCGCTGGACGGAGGATCTGCTCCCCGCGCTACAACAAACGGGACTGGAGTTTGAGATCCTGCCCAAGCGGGAATGGGTGCAGCGTCTGCGCGAATCCGATCCAGATCCGGCCAAGAATCCCACCATTAAACTTTTGGACTTCTTCACGGAGAAGTACGACAATGAGAATCCGGGTCGGGCCGGGCTAGTTTTTCAGATGGAGAAGACGGAGGCGGCGAGTCCGTCGTTGAGGGGAGGTGTTGAGTTGATTGAGAACGGGCTGATTCGGAAGTTTGTGGATTCCTGGCGGGGGGAGTGGTGAATGTCTTGGTTGGGAAGTTGTTCTGCGAGGGTCGGCTGGGTTAGATTGTCACTGTTAATTGCAGGAGTCATGAGTTAGCTGTAGTTTGGTTCAATACCATTGTGTTCTCCATACCTCAGCCATCTCCATGCCCAAGGTAGTGAAGCATTGAGACATCAGGTCTTAAGGCATTCAGGCATCCAGCCAAGGGGCGAAAGTCCCGGATGACAAATGCCGCATCTCCTCCACTTTTCTCAGGCACCAACACTCACCCACCCATCCATCCACGGCTCGAGGCGGCAAAAGTGAACTGTACGGTCTGTACCTGATCCGAAAAATTTGTGGTGGCGATATGCAGCCTATTCAGTTTGATCCACCGGTCGGACTGAGTACCCGAAGCAACCGGGTATGGGTTGGTCACCAACGCCCAGTCTGAACGGCCCCAATCCGGTTCATCCCCCTGCTGATAACCAATGTGAGGTATCACTTTGGGGTGTTGTTTCAAGATGCTGACCACCCTTCCTTACCCCTGTTACTAGGTAACTGGCGAGACTACAAATAACTTATTCTCCGAGGTTGGGCCATGCAATCGAGTGATAAGCGGGATTCGGAAGCGGAGGGAAGTTGCCTGCGCGATAGTTAGTTAGTTCACTGAGTAGTGAGTAGAAGTTAGGGCACCATTCTATGCTCTCCCGCGCGGCCGACGCAGCGCCAAGCAGCATCGACAGCAATCAGTGGCAGCCTATTGTTCGGTTTTTCGCTTTTCCCCACTTGCACCTTGGGCTCACTGGGCCTTCAGCCATTAGACTACGCGGCAACTGACAAGCTTCCGTCTGCTGAAAATCTGGGAAAATCCTTGGGATATCCAGTGTTTTCTCTGTCGATGGTGAACGAGGTTGAACAACCCTGACTCTCGATGGACTCTGGGGAACCACCCCGATCGAAATAAATTAAACCTCCTCCGATCTGATCTCATCCTCCCCTCCCCCTCCACTCTTCCTCTCGTTGATAAATTCCTGCAAATGCACGGATGACAGTGACTCTGTCGGTGTGTCAGGGGGAAGAATGATTCACCAACCAGTGC